GGGAGAGGGGAGAGAGGGGAGAACCCATAAGGCACTGAGAGCCAGATGGGGAGAGACAGCGGGAGGACCCGGGCTGCTCCACAGCGAGGAGAGGAGCCTTGTCAACAGGCACATGGGCTGTCAGTACCCGATGCTGCAAAGAAAGCACGCAGGAAGAAAACCGAAGAGTCCACGGAAGCCTCAGTAAGAACACAAGTAACTGCAAACATTTCTCCGTTTCCAGGAGCACCGCAAGGGAAAGAAGCGAGGTTGCTCACGGCGAGGGGAGGCAGAGCGCAGGGCCGGGCGTCGGGCCCCGGAGCGTCCCGCTCGAAGGCCCCGAGGTGGACGCTCAGGCCTCGGAGCAGTTCACTGTCCCCGGGCTCGCCTGCCACCCGTCGCAGGATCTGTGAAGAGCACCCCGCAGGCCACGTGCAAGCTTTCCCACAGCGTTTGCTCCCTCTCACCTGCGTTTGCACAGAAGTTCCTGGAGTAAGGCCGAAAGGATTAGCCTGGGAGGGAGAACCAGATCCCCTCTCCCCATCTCCATGCCACCTCCCCCTTGCATCCCATCTTGCTGTGCTCTCCCAGGCTCATCAGCATCTGGCCACTGCCGAACTGCCTTCTGTTCCTCTCCCACCTCAGGGCCTTTGCACAACCTGTCTTTGCTGTCTGGCTGCTCTGCCCTTTAACTTGACCCGGTCAACTCCTTCCCCTCACTCTGGTTTCAGCTCTAATGTCCCCTCCGTGGAGTGGTCGCCCCAACAAGCTGTTTTAGAGAAGTTCCCATCATTCCCTATCACAGGAGTCCGCTTAGTTCACTTTGTAACACTTCCCCCTGGTGTTTCTTGTTTGCTTATTAACTTATTGCGTATGGCCATCGCCCCACAAGACCGTAAGGCTCACCACAGTAGAAGCTTCTTGGTCCAAATCACTGTGGTATGCACAAAACAGAGAAATATCTAGCCCTTGATGGCATGCTTGGGTTCCCAAGGTGGGGGCACAGAGTAAGCCCCCTGTTGGGCTCTCATCTGGGGCCGCCCCGGTGCCCAGGAGTGGCGCGTATGGCTGGCCGTCGGGCTCCCTCACGGCTGGTCCGCAGCCTCCCGACCAGCCTGTCCCAGTCTTCAACTTAGCTACGTGCCAGTCAGGATTTTTTTAATCGGCCCCCACCCCCACCCCTGGTATTTTTTGTCTGTTTTTTTTTTGTTTGCTTTTTTATAATAGAAAGGAGATAAACAATATTTTCTTTCAATTTTCACACAAATATCTACAGAGTTTATTTTTCATATCTGTCTTGAATTCCTCAGAAAGGAAGGGAGCTGAGCAGCTGGAGTCACCTCTAGCCTTTCTGGGTCGTGTTATCAAGACTGGTTTGTGTCATCAAAGGAAACTCTATGTGGATCAGATGGTGTCCTCTCTACGTTGTATTACGCAGATGTGGAATCACCTTAAAGTTGAAAGATGAAAGAAACAAACCAACAATGAAAGGGGAAAACGCATCTCAAGTTCAAGACGGCCCATCCCTTCACCCCTCCGTGTCCCCGTAAATTCATCCAGTAACTCTAACAAGTAAGCGATGATGCTTAGGATTTATCATGATTCCTTTGAAGAAACAAAGTGACCGTATCACTTTTCAGGTTTCCCTTCACCCCAGTAGGAGCAATCGGCAGGGTACGGGGTCAGCAGGTTTAGCCTGAGGTGCACACGGAAGGTTCTGCGGATGCCAGCGTAGCCCAGGTCCTGGAGCTCCTGCTGACACAGACCCTGTGCATTACTGGGAAGGGGACAGTGTGTTTTCTCTCCGCGCATCTTCCAGAGCAGCTACATGTATACGACAGTGGGAGAGAGAGGTTTGTATTAGAAAATGTAAACTAGGCTCGAAGAAGCTTCACAATAGTACAACGTGGGTAGTGTCTCTAACCGGCTTCCCGGCTTCTTTTATTAATTAATTGATTAATTAATTTATTTACTTCATTGATTTCAGAGAGAGGAAAGGAGAGGCAGAGATAGAAATGTCGATGATGAGAGAGAGTCATTGGTCGGCTGCCTCTTGCACTTGCCCTATTAAGGACGGAGCCCGCAACCCGGGCCTGCGCCCTGACCGGGAATCGAACCGTGACCTCCTGGATCCTAGGGCGATGCCCAGCCCCTGAGCCAGGCCTGCCTGGCACTTCTCAGCTTCTGCCCCTGGGAAAGCCCTGGGGGCAGCAGGGGCGCCCGTGGAATCCGGCGCTCGGCCTGGCTGTGCAGCAGGACGTGTGGATAGCAGCAGCCCACTGAGGTCAGGCGGCCCCGCAGAAAGCCTTTCAAAGAAAGAGGTTTCCACCCTGGCCCCTCGGCTCCGTGGTGAGAGCGTTGGCCACGCACTGAAGGGGCGAGGGTTCGATTCCAGGTCGAGGGCACATACCTGGGTTGCAGGTTTGATCCCCGGCCGCAGCCAAGGCCCATGTGTCTCTCTCACATGGATGTTTCTCTATCTCCCCCTCCCT